CCAATCGGCCTCAAGAGCAGGAGGATTGTGGGAGGTAGAGAGGCTGGTGTGGGGGTGAGAGGCTTGTGGAAGCCGGTGGTGGCAGTTGGGCTCTGAGGGTTTTTTCCTGAGGAGCTGTTTTGTTTGGCATTTGTAGTACTAAAAATAAAGTTAGTTTCTTTTGACAAGTGGCTCCTGAATTGTGCCCAGCCAGACTGCGGCAAAATATATTTCTTTTTTTAAAATATTTTTTTAGTTGTAGTTAGACACAATACTTTTATTTTATTTACTTATTTTTATGTGGTGCTGAGGATTAACCTAGCACCTCTCATGTGCTAGATGAGCACTCTACTGCTGAGAGCCCCCCAAAATATATTTCTAATATACTTCAAGATCAAAATGATTTCCAGTGTCATAATGGCACAAATGAAGGGGTTGGGAATGTATTAGTTTACAATAGGGAAATTCAAGGTCTTCATGTGAATTTTTGCTTCTTATTTTTCTTATAGAGGAATCATAACATTATCTTTAGAACTATGATAAATAGGAATAACATTTTTTTTCCCATTGCTAGGAATTGAACCCAGGGCCTTAGGAATGCTAAGTAAGTGCTCTACCACTGAGCTCTACTCCCAATCCCAGTCAGGAATGGTGATGCATTCCTGTAGTCTCAACCACTCAGGAGGCTGAGGGTGAGGATCACTTGAGCCCTGAGTTCAAGGTTACCCAGGATCACACAGCAAGACCCTGTCTCAAAAAAGAAAAAAGAATGAAAAAGATCATCCATTAGTGAATTTATAGTAACTCTGAATCTAAACAGATAATTATGTATATTGAATGATATGTTTTTACTGTAAAAGGAGTTTCCTACCCTATTTCTGTTTTAGCTATCATTTTCTGAGACAGTAGAAAGACTGGTGAGTGTAGCAGCATTTCTGGACAAAATGCTTGTCTAAAGAGGTTTTTCCCTGCCAAAATTATTTTGTTTTGTTTTTTTTGCTGCGATTAAACCCACAGTCTTATGTAAGTTAGGCACACACTCTACCACTGAGCTACACCCTCAATGCCCAAAACATTTATTGTGATATCTAATATATATCTGTTTTCTTTTTTTGTTTTTAGGTAGTGGGGATTGAATCCAGGGATGCTTAACCACTGAGCTACATCCCCAGCCCTTTGTTATTTTTTGTTTTGAGACAGGTTCTTGCTAAGTTGCTTAGGGCCTGCTAAATTGCTGAGGCTGGCTTTGAATTTGTGAGCCACCGGGATGACAGGAGTATGCCTGGCTCGTGTGTTTATTGTAAATTAACATTTATCAGAACTGACTGATTTGAGGTTTTGTTTATTTGTTTTGTTTTATTTATTTTGTTTGCAATACTGGGAATTGAACCCAGGAATGCACTACCACTGAGCTATACCACCCTTTTTTATTCTTGATTTTGAGACAGGGTTTGCTAAATTGCCTTGGCTGACCTTGAACTTTCAATTCTCCTTGCCTCAGCCTCAAGATGCTAGGAATACAGGCTTGTGCCATCTCACCTGGCTGGTTTGTTTTTGAGACAGAATCTTGCTATGCTTTCCAGGCTTGTCTCTGGGTTTAAGTGATCCTCCTGCTTTAGCACACTGAGGAGCTGCAATTACAGGCACTGGCTACCATTCTTAGCAGAACTGCTTGATTTTTTGATGTAACTCATGAGATGTGCATTTCTCTATATTCAAAAGCTTTCTTCTTGGCCAGACTACAAAATAAAATCTAATTTTACAAATGAGATATGTTTCCTTTGGGGAGATCATCTTTTGTAAGAAAGTTCTTTA